CCTAAACCATAAACCCCTAAACCCTAAACCCCTAAATCCTAAACCTAACCCCTCAACCCTAAACCCTAAACCCCTAAGCCCCTAAACCCTAAACCCTATGGGGCCCATGGGTACTTTTCAGGCCTTAAAGCCGGCGACACGCTCCGCTTCTCCGACCTCCTGGTGCGTGGCCCGGCCTGTGGCACTGAGCCTCGCCGTGCATTTGGGGGGAACGTTTTGGTCTTGGGGCTTAGGGTTTAGGGTTTAGGGTTTAGGGGGAACATTTTGGGGGTCTTGGGGCTTAGTTTCGGGCTCGATTTGGGAATGGGGTCCTTGCATTTGGGGGTTTCTTTTTGGTTTGTTTTGTGGGGGTTAGGCTAGATGTTAGCATCTGTTTGGTACCCTGCGCTGGTCGTTCTGTTGGGTAGCCCGCCAGAGTGCCGTCTTCTGGTAGTATCCGAAATGTTTCCGCTTTGATATCCTGAAGAATCTCCAGGCATCAGCAACGATGATATACTGGGGGCCTTCGGATGACATGCAACCGAAGACTCTTCCCTTGCCCCGACGATTTCGCTGGGAAAGTGCTTTAGTGCTCCTACCTACCACGCGACTGCACGACCCACTGCCTTCTGCAAATAAATATCTGGCCGCAATACATAATGTCGCGGCTGCAGATCTCTATGTGCACATACCTTCCGTCGCAGCTTATGGTGCAAGGGTTCGTAGCAAGAAAGTGCTCCTCCTTTCAAGCTTGGACTTGACCTGCAGATCGTGGAAGCTGTCAAGTCTCCAAGCTCCAAACCCTGGATGGTCTAAACTACCCATAGGCCCCAGAGTAGTTCCTTTTTGGGAGTACCTAATATAAGCCACAAAAAGGAACTACTATGGGGCCTTATGGGTAGGCTCCAAGCCTTCAACCCAAAACGCAAATATGTTGCAAAGCTCTGCCTTCCTGTGCTGTGCAGCGTCCCCCAACTCGTTCCTCCCGGGTTGAGCTGCTACAGTCCTTACACCCTAAGCCCGTGAGGGTGCGTGTGCATGTTA